TGCACTCTAGCAGCGACAGTGTGAGATCCTGTCTCAAAAAAAAAAAAAAAAAAAAAAAAAAAGAAGAAGAACGAAAGAAAAGTAAAGTGACTATTCTATTCAATGTTTGATGGTCTTGAAAATCCTGAAGCAGCAAAGCAACTTAATCAGGAGACCCAAATGAGCCAGCTCCACTCTAATCACTCAGAAGAACCTGAGTACACAACTTAGCATTTCTGAGCATCTTTTTCATCTAGAAAATGAGGTAGTTGGATGGAATATTCTTCACAGACCTCTCTAGGTCAAAAGTGTAAATTGAAAGTAAGCATCTTTTCTGAATTTTCATTTTGAAAGTAATACTAAAAATACGCAGATATGGTTCTAAGGGAATTAAAATTTCAGTTTAGGTGAATTTAAATTTAATATTCTAATTTTTTTACTAATAATGCTGAATACTTTTATTTCACTCTTATAGACAAAACTGAGGTAAAAGAAAGTAAGGGGCACATTCAGAGTACTAGATTTTTGGCACTTATAAGTTGTACTCTCTATTTAAAAAGCACACACTTAAGATTAAACAACACAAGCCCCTGACTTAAGCATTATGCAAGATATCCATGTAACAAAAGTATTTGTACCCCCTTAATATTTTGAAATTAAAAACAACAAAAGAAAACCACATAGCATATTCATTTTTAAAAATGCTTTTACAAAAAGGAAATATTAATAATTAGGGTTTGGCATTAGAATCTCATATATGTTGATTTATACAACGGACATACAGTATACTGAAATGTTATAGATGTCAAGAATTGTTTTAAACTTTAAATTGCTCCCCAGAAGTTGTTGATGGTCCTCTGCTCCTGCATGCCCAGGACAGGCAGCTGCATGCAATTTTCTGAATGCTTGAAACTAATCTTCTCAAGGATTTGTTTTTGCCCCAGAGGAATCACAGAGACACTCAGAAGGAGCACGGAACTTTTAGACATCAGCTGTCCTAAGTGAAAGGTGTGTGCACACAGGTGGGCGCACACGTGTGGGGGTGTGTGTGCAGACTCCTGCTGGCCCTCTCACATCTATTCCTGTTCACTAATCACTTTTTGCCTGTCTGAGGAATCCTGGTGGGTCTCTGACGTCTCTTCTACTGGGCTGGCCTGATCCGCGGAATCTGTTTTTGTGGTCTGGTTCCAGTGGCTGGGCCTGCACCTCCCCAGGCAGGTCTTCTCTAGTCACACTGGCTGCAGGGAAGCCTCCTGCACTGCTGCTTTGCTCCCAGGGCGCTCTGCCACCGGATGCTGCCAGAATCATCTCAGAGGCTAGTCTGGGCACCAAACTTACTTAACAGGAACAGAAATCTTCCTTTTCCAGAAAAGAAGCTCTGGGAAGGCTCAGGCACAGCTCCTTTGCTCAGCTTTCCTACTGGAAGCTTTGATATGGCCACACTCAAAACTCATCTTTCATTAAAAAGAGCAAGCTACCCAACATCAGTTAGCTGAGATTAAGATGAGCGAGAAACACTGAAGCTAGATTTCCAGGGACTGAAAAAAGGAGTCACAGAAAAAGGCCTGGTGTGGGCCAGGCACGGTGGTTCACGCCTGTAATTCTAGCGCTCTGGGAGGCTGAGGCAGGAGGACCTCAGGAGTTTAAGACCAGCCTGAGCAGCAGCGAGATCCCGTCTCTTCCAAAAATAGAAAAAAAATTAGCCAGTCAACTAAAAATAGAAACACAAAATTAGCCAGGCATGGTGGCTTCCACCTGTGTAGTCCCAGCTACTCAGGAGGCTGAGGCAGGAGGATCGCTTGAGCCCAGGAGTTTGAGGTTGCTGTGAGCTAGGCTGATGCCATGGCACTTACTCTAGCCTGGGCAACAGAGTGAGATTCTGTCTCCAAAAAAAAAAAAAAGGCCTGGCGTGGAGGGTCTGAGGTGGTAGGATTCTATGCTAACACACTGCGTGGCTGGCTGAATTTCTAACTTGGCTTTACCTCTACTAAGGGCTCAGTTTTCTCACTGAAAAGTAATGATGTTGCACAAAATTTCTAAGGCCCCTTCCAGTTGAAAATTAGAAGAGAAAAATTTTAGGCATTCTCATGTACTGCTAGTTAGAATACTAGCAAATTCATGAGATACTTAGACTTTGGAGTTAGACAGACTTGCGTTTCAAATCCGACTTTATCACTTACAAACTCTTTGAACTTAGACAATTGTTCTCTGTGTCTGTTTTCTTATCTTTATACAACAATCATAGCTATCATCTTGGGTCTTTTTGAAGACAAATTAATTTATATTTAAAGTCTAACACAGAGTGAGCTCAATAAAAAGTACCCATTATAGCTTTCATTAAGAAATATGGGCTGGGTGTGGTGGCTCATGCCTGTACTTCCAGCACTTTGGGAGGCTGAGGTGGGAGGATCACTTGAGGCCAGGAGCTCAAGACCAACCTGGGCAACATAGCCAGACATTCTCTCTACACAAATAAAAAAAATTAGTTGGGTGTGGTGGCGTGCGCCTGTAGTCCTAGCTACTTGGGAGGATGAGGCAGGTGGAACACTTGAACCCAGGAGTTGAGGTTGCTATGAGCTATGATTGGGCCCCTCCAACCTGGGCAATACAGTGAGATCCTGCCTCTGGAAAAAAAAAAAGAAAG